AAAGGTAAAAGCCTGTTGCTCTTGCCAGACAACGGAAGTGTCAAGAGAACACCAAAGTAAGGCAATATAAAGCACTATTATAACCAGGGATTTAAAAAAAAAAAAATCAGCAGAGAGTATCAGAATTCATGCTCTCTCTCACACACACACGAGACAAACGTCTCCTTTACTTCAGTTATACGGGACCCAAAATAAGGTGATGTTTATTCCAGGGGTAGGGGGGAAGCAAAGTGGGGGGGGGGGGGACCAAGAATATATCCCATTTTCTGATACGGAAGATTAATCCTTTTTCTCTCTCACACACACACACCCCGGATTAAGTAAGCGAGTATATCTCGAGAGTGGGAAATACTCACTCAATGAAGTAACTGGCTCCTTCTTCCGAGAATCCCTCCTCCCATCCACGGGGGAGATCTAAAAAAAAGAACAAAAGCAGGAGGGGGGAGAAAGAGAGAGAGAGAAAGTGGCAGTGAGAGAAAGACGAGGGAAGCGAGATCTCAGTGCCCTGGAGATAGGCGAGCGTAAATCCCAGTCACACAAAGGTCGTTATCCTCCCCCCCCCTCCGCCACCCCCCGTGAGAGAGAGAGAGAGAAAGGCAAACACGAGCGCGGGGCGAAGGGGGGGGAGCAGAAAAGTCCCATTCAGCCTCCCTTTCCCGCCCCCGCCCCACCACAAGTGCCCTAGCGGGAAAGTGTAGTTGGGGAGGGCGAGGGGTAGTTAGGGCACCCACCTGAGCGGATCATGTGGCCTGAGTTGACGGGCTCCCCGGTGCGAGGATGCAGCCAAGTAGTTGAGCGGGTCAGGTCGCTAAGGAGGGAGAAGCGGCAAACATGCACCTGTTAGTACTAGAGCCCGTCGTGAAGGGGGGGGGAGGAAAGAAAGGAGCGGAATAAGCGGCAACGCTACCGGCCCCCGCCCCCACCCACGCACCGCCACCTCCTTTTCCCGCCGCCCGGCGCCTTACTCGATGAAGAAGACGCGGCCGTCTCCACAGACGCCATAGGACCAGTGCTCAGGTAGAGTGTCCCGCCCCACCGCCTCGGCCGCCGCCGCCGCCGCCATGTTCGCCGCGCGCACAGCCCGCCCGCCTGCCGGAGGGGGGCGGAGGGGGTGCAAGGGAGCGGGAGGGCAAGGCGAGGCGAGGCAGGCAGGCAGGCGCCCGCCGCAAGTGCCCGGCTCTGCTCAGCAGCGCCACCGGCCGGCAGCGGAGAGCGGGAGGCGCGCGGGCAGGCGCGCAACGCACAACGCAGCGCGATGCAACACAAGGTGGCTCGCCTCCCCCGTCTGGGTGGGGAAGAGCGCTCTGTGTGTGTCCCCCACCCTTTCAGTTAAGCCCAGCAGGCAGATTGGGCAGACGGCTCGTTGCCCCGTGTTTGCAAACAGGAGGAGAGGAAGAGAGGGAACTCTTTATTTCGAACAAGCCTGTGGTTTTGTATCCCATAATAGCAGTCCGGGCAACAGGTTGTGTGAGCCCAGCTAAAGTCCGCTGTTCCTTGTTTAGGACTTAATAGGTGCCACCCTTAAACAGCAACGCTTAGGGCTGTAGGTGAATAAATAGAAATGAAGAATATGCTACCTGAACTTCCCAGTCGCACTTCCAATTTCAGACAATCAGAGCTCCAGAGATACAGATATTAACTCCTTGTTGTGAAGGCGTCTGAATGCTCCAACTGTTGAAATAACGTCGCATTTTTCACAACACATGAGCAAGGCTACTTCTTTTCCCGCCAATTTGTGAACTTTTTTCCTGACTCAAGATCTGGATCTTTTCCCCTTCCTAAACACAAACTTTTCCTGAATTATTTTTTAATTAAAGTGTAAATATAATAAAAGTCACACACACGTCTCTAAATGAAACCCTCCTACTGTACAGTATCTAACTGTGGTGGCTCAGCTAAGTGTTTTAACTGCATAGGCAAGAACACATAGGATACTTTTCAGTGTCTGCACTGTTAGGCTTTGTGGGATACTTTGCCACCCTTGACACATGGCAGAAATTAAGCTGCCCTCAATAGATCATCCACACCATACATTAAAAGCAATCTTACATCACTTTCCCCCAAAGAATCCTGGGAACTGTACTTTGTTAATGGTGCTGCCACCAAAACTAGCTTCTTCTCACAGCTCTTTGTCCACCACACCAGAACTACCACCATATGCAACTATTATGAGGATAAATTTGGGGCCCAGTTTATCTAGTAATTAATACAACAGGCTATTGTAACAGCAATTTAACACGTGAAGAAGTTTCAAAGACACTTGCTTTTTCGACATTCCATGTTTTTAACCAATCAATGATAAATAAAGTTTGACATGTGAGAATGCTGCCTATACATGAATAGAATTTCTGTGGTGATATTCAGTGGTAGTTATATGGAGAGCAGACCCATTAAAATCAATGAACTTCAGTACTGAACTCCATTAATTTCAGTGGGTATGACTTAGTTGGATATCACCCATAGGCCAAATTTCAAGTTGAATTTCCTTCCAAAAATATGAATATGCAACTCATGTTACCCTACAAATTGATGTGTATGGAAACAATGGATCCTCATTTTAATACAATTTGTACTCTTTTGTATCATCAGTGGAAATAAAAGGACAGTTCATTAATTGAAACAGAATTTGGGCTCCTCCAGACAACCCATTTTATCAAGCATTTATCCTAATTTGCTTGCACAAAGCATACTTGGATGTTATGCAATGTGTGGTATATATTGAGCATTTATTCTGATTTATTGCAGAGAGGTTATACAACAATGAGCATTCATTCTGATATCTTGTGCAGAAGTTTTATGTATTCCCATTAATCAATCATTTATCACACACTTTTTGGTGCATTTCCCCATCACTTTCCTAAACAAAAAATGTCAATGTTTAAAACCTTGATTTGTTGCAGTAAAGCATTCAATTCACTTTTATTGTGCAAACTAAATTTCTGGTGTGCAGCTGAATCCTGCTTGCAGAATACTGGCAGTCTGGTAGCAAACTTTGTTTCGCTTGTTCTGTTTTCCTTTGAATGCTGTCAGACATAAACTCCTAACAAACATACAAGAGGATACATGTCTCTTCGCTCTATGTAATTTGACCCAGCTCTGCACATGGTCTACCCAGGATACAGTGTCTTACTCCTTCCTTTCTGTAAAATTGTTTCTCTTCTATTCCCGCTGAAAAATGCAATCTACAGAGAAACCAGCAGGGCATGGAAGAAGACAAAATCAGAGTTGTTGGAGTGGATCAGCAAGCAAAGTGAAGATAACTTTGTTCCTTTCATTGCTGCACAGGCTAAATCACACGTCAGTGGAGATTGTCAACTGTGGGGATTGTAATATTTTCTGCAGCCCTGAACTACATTAAAGAACCAATCAGAGATGTGATCATAATTGTTTGATGTTTTGAGATTGGCAATTACTGTAGGGGAAATTCTAAATATAAGACTTGTTGCATTTTTAGCTAATACTATTTTGGTAGACATGTAACAATGCAGTGTGTACCTACCTAAAATAAATAGTGCATCTCAATCCACAGCATATTTCTAGTTACTGAAATTCTATTTTATGTCAATAGAACAGTGATATTGTAGAAAGTAGCAGGGCAAATCTCTACTTTTTCCAGCAATTGTGTTCATGTTTGTTATTGTCAAAAGAAAACTCAATATTTCTTCCTTTTTAACAAAATGAAAAGAAATACAAAGCTGTTCCTGAAGGTTAATCTGTACAGCCTGCGTAGAAACAGAGAAACACTGTACACAAAGTATTTGCAAAATACAGGCCCTCCATCTGTGTGTATAAAATCATGACTGTCATTTCAATACTTCAAAGATTAAGGAAATTCCTTTAAATATGGAAGCTCTCTGTAGACATATCCTAAGTCACTTGTCCAACCTGTGCAAAGCTTTTATTGCTTCAGTCTGTACCGGCTCTCATTTACTTCAATATTGCCTATACAGTATGTGTTGGTGCTCAAAAATGAACCGTTCCAATTATTTCAGCTTCTACAATTAATTCTTAGTTTAGAGTACCAGCAGTATACAACCAAGTTCAGATGGTGGCTGTTCTTTTCCTTACTATAAATTTAAAATATGCAGTAATTATATTGTTGTCTTTGGAGTAACTTCAAGTCTAAAACCTTGACTTTATATTGTTTCATGAGCATACCCTGAATTCATAATGTCGCAACTAGCTCAGGCCTTAGCCTTTAAATCTCCTAATTAAAACAATGACACCCTGTAGTATTTTCTTCACCTTCCCTACAATTGACCCATTCACTTTCTGCTTCCGTTGCTCTTCCCTCCATGGGCGTAGCCAAGGAGGGACATGGAAGGGCAGCTGCCCCCCCCCATCAATAAAAAAATGCATAGCTAACTGAGGTTCTGCTCCCCTCAAAACAAAAGGCCTGCCCCCATAACAAAAATCCTAGCCATGCCCATGCTCCCCTCCCTACTTTCCCTCCCTACTTATCACTGACTCACATGTTGAGGCCCTTTTCACTCCTGTAGTTCTCCTAGTTCTAGGGGCTTGTACGTCCTCTGGATTTACTTACGCATGCGGATACAAACATCGGGCCTTCTTGTGGATCTCCCTTAAGGGTTTTTGTCATTGTTGTTGGAATATATCTTCAGAAGTGCAAAAGAAATGGATTTTTAAAGTTATAATACAGTTCAGGATCTGGTGTGTAAGCAATTCCAAACTTTCAAAAACAAAAAACAACACACTGAATGCTACTCATCCTGCCACAGATAATTACTTGCCAATATTGATTCTGGAACCTTAACACGTCCATTAAAATGCTGTTTGCACCCGCACAGAGGTAATAGCTTCTTATATTGGTATTGACATTTTGTATCAGTAGTGTTTTTTAACCTCAGGTGGTAACTTTAAGAAAGAGAAGACTGTAATGATATATTATTCAGTTACATAACCTTCAAGGTTTAATCTCTAGTCCTTTCCTATTAATTTATTTACAGTTTTCTCTCTGTAAACAGCATATTTAGAATATTTGTCTAGAGAACAGAAAATGAAATTGTAGTCCATTGATCATATGGAATCATTGTGAAAACTAGCAGTAATGAAACTGTTCAATGTAGTACAAGAATGAGGAATTACGAGGTGGTAGTAGTGAAATGAGTACTGTGGAAGTGAGAGCGGGACCATAAAGAAGGCTGATCACCGAAGAATTGATGCTTTTGAATTATGGTGCTGGAGGAGACTCTTGAGAGTCCCATGGACTGCAAGAAGATCAAACCTATCCATTCTGAAGGAAATCAGCCCTGAGTTCTCACTGGAAGGACAGATGCTGAAGCTGAGGCTCCAATACTTTGGCCACCTCATGAGAAGAGAAGACTCCCTGGAAAAGACCCTCATGTTGGGAAAGATGGAAGGCACAAGGAGAAGGGGACGACAGAGGACGAGATGGTTGGATAGTGTTCTCAAAGCTATCAGCATGAGTTTGACTAAACTGCAGGAGGCAGTGGAACACAGAAGTGCCTGGCGTGCTCTGGTCCATGGGGTCACGAAGAGTCGGACACGACTAAACGACTAAACAACAACAACAAGAAGTAGTGAAATTGTAGAATGTAGTGCTGTACCGTATAAGCTATCTTTAGTGGCCTCTGTAGTGTCTCCCTATTGTTCCACAGGGATAATACAAGACAATATTTTTGTCCTATAGAACACTTCCTAGTTATAAATATTAACAGCTCCAAACATGAACAGAAAAATGCCTAATGAAGTATTCTCAGTGGCTTCCCTACAAATGTAGAATGTCTTCCAAAGTATATGTTGAGCAGTTCCCCTTCTCTCTGTCGCCTAATAACATTTCTCCGTCTTCTCCACCCAGAGGACCTATCACTTGCTTGTTCTTCCTCTTGCTTCGAACATAGCTGAAGAAACCATTTTTAAATTAATTTTATCCTCTCTTGCAGAGCTCATTCTGTTATATATTTTTAATTATAGGCAACCATAAGGATGGCTTTTCAGCAGTAATGTATTTTCATCACATTTTGGATTGTGTTTTATAATCATGTAATGTGCTCCATCCTGGGATCCATTGTGTGAAAGGGTGGGTTGGAAATATCCTTAATATATAAAAATAAATATTCTTTTTAATACCAATTCAAAAAATTTCCTTGCTTATGCTTGTATAGCCAACACTGCACACAAGAGAGAACAGTCAGCAGACTCAGAGTAACCCAAGGATTGCAGAAGTTATTTTTTAAAAAAAACTTTAAGAGGACATAAGCGGAAAAGAGTCGAATGAAAACCAAGAATTTTGAGAAACTTAAGTGAAAAACAAAAAAGTGGGCAGGAGGCGGGGATGGAGTGGAGTGGCTGGAAAGGGAGGAAACAACACAGAGACATAGAAAGGGATAGAAAGAAACATCTCATCATCTGGATAGATCATTTTCTACTTCACACTGTTTTAAAATGTCCCCAAGGTTAGAAAAGAGAGCAGCCCATAGACATCAATGTGGCTGGGAGAAAAACCAAAATGTGGGAAGAGGCAATGGCAAACACTCAAACAGGCTAATGAGAACTGAGCCTGCTTATAGGTCCTGAATGCTGACTTACTACTGTGGTGAAGGAAACCCTAGGGAGGGAATGGAATTGTGTGGCTAGCTAGTACCTGAAAAGAAGCACTCAACACTGAAACATTTTGCAATAGGACCCAGTGCCGGATTTATGTATAACCTAAACAAGCTATAGCTTAGGGCCCCACTCTCTTGGGGGCCCCCCAAAAATATACTTTTTCTTAATTGTATTTCACTAGTAATATACTTCTTAATTGTATTTCACTATTAATATACTATAATATATAGTCTCCCTGCTTATTTAACTTATATGCAGAATTCATCATGCGAAAGGCTGGGCTGGATGAATCCCTAGCTGGAATTAAGATTGCCGGAAGAAATATCAACAACCTCAGATATGCAGATGACACAACATTGATGGCAGAAAGTGAGGAGGAATTAAATAACGTTTTAATGAGGGTGAAAGAGGAGAGCACAAAATATGGTCTGAAGCTCAACATCAAAAAAAGGAAGATCATGGCCACTGGTCCCATCACCTCCTGGCAAATAGAAGGGGGGAAAATGGAGGCAGTGAGATTTTACTTTCTTCAGCTCCATGATCACTGCAGATGGTGACAGCAGCCACAAAATTAAAAGACGCCTACTTCTTGGGAGAAAAGCAATGACAAACCTAGACAGCATCTTAAAAAGCAGAGACATCATCTTGCCAACAAAGGTCCGTATAGTAAAAGCTAGGGTTTTCCCAGTAGTGATGTATGGAAGTGAGAGCTGGACCATAAAGAAGGCTGACCGCCAAAGAATTGATGCTTTTGAATTATGGTGCTGGAGGAGACTCTTGAGAGTCCCATGGACTGCAAGAAGATCAAACCTATCCATTCTTAAGGAAATCAGCCCTGAGTGCTCGCTGGAAGGACAGGTCCTGAAGCTGAGACTCCAATACTTTGGCCACCTCATGAGAAGAGAACACTCCCTGGAAAAGACCCTCATGTTGGGAAAGATGGAGGGCACAAGGAGAAGGGAACGACAGAGGACGAGATGGTTGGATAGTGTTCTCGAAGCTACCAGCATGAGTTTGACCAAACTGCGGGAGGCAGTGGAAGACAGGAGTGCCTGGCGTGCTCTGGTCCATGGGGTCATGAAGAGTCGGACACGACTAAACGACTAAACAACAACAACATTAATATACTTCTTCTTAATTGTATTTCAGTTCAACAATTACTTTAATAAAATACATATTTTGATATGTGCAACTGGCTTTAGATACCTATTAGGTCCATAAATTACCATAGTTTGTTGTTGACAAAGGACAGCTGGACATGTAAAGGGCCCCATTACCTTCAGTAGCATAGGGCCTCAAACCCAAATCTGGTCCTGATAGGACCCCACTTGTCATATGTAGTAATCAGCATCCAGAGATCTCCAGATGAGTTGCAACAGGTCTTTCTTTCAGCTGGAACTCACCGGAACTCAGTTCTGGCACCTCTCAGGCGGGTGCCATTGTCATTATAAGAGAACAAAGGGAGGCGTTCATGGTGAGTTCTGACACTGAGTTACAAAGGAAAATAAAAATTAGTACAGTTTTTCAGAGTACTATGTGGGACATGATGTGAACAGAATGCCTGGAGTCACTTTGATCATAAGCAATACAGGTAGAACAGGAAGCACAAGCCACTCATAACTGCACATGATGGGGAATATGAAATAGTTCCACATCGGATGTTACAGAGATATATGAGACGTTTGTACTTGCAGTGTGTGTTGGTTTCTGTTCAGGGGGCCAGCTACAAAATTCCATTTCCCCTCTCCCTTGTTGGTGACCATAGTTAACAGAGATGCACAGAATTAGTCTAAAAGTGTTTTTAAAAGGAGAATGATAATGGAGTAGGAAGAGCAGATGAATGAATAGAGGAGGGATATTGTGAGACATACGGGAAAGTTAGTACTTCTTCCCATGAGGTTCAAAGATTAACATGAAGAAGCCTGGTAGCAGGGTGCCATTCCTGCATCTAGTCTTTGCGTAGTATCATACAACAAATAATTGCATGCAAATTAACTGGTAAATAATGCCTTTCATGTTCATTACAGAAATTTCTCCTTTTTCTCCATTGTAGACTGCTTCCTTCGACTTCCATTCAGTGCATTGAATGGAAATATTAATAAACGTGGGGCGTATAGTTTGGTCACAGCTTCTATTCATATATCTGTAATAACTTTGAAAAAGGGAATGGAGGTTAATAAACTAAACAATCACCTTCAAGAGAGACACTATAAGAACTGCCTTTGTGCCTACATATACAAAATAAGAAAGAGTCAAAATCTTTTATCAAATTTATACAAAGCAAAGGCTAATTTAAGAACATAAAGAGGCTACCCCAATAACAAAATTTTGCCATTTATTTGTATATATATTGGATCCTTTGAAATAGTGGGCAGAATTAAACACTCTGAGGAATATGCCATGGTTACACAATTATCTAAAGATGCATATCTTCAGCTAATAACCTAAGATTAACACAATCTGATGCACGTCTGTTCAGAAGTCCAACTGAGTTCAACAGGATTTACTCCCAGTTAAGTATATGTAGGATTATCACCTTAAATTTCAATCCTACACCCATTTACTTGGGTGTAAGTCCCATTGAACTCCACGGGACTTAAGTCAGAGCAGACATGTCTAGGATTAGGCTACAATCTTAAGCACACTTACTAGGGTGGACACCTCATTGAAAACATGAGCATGCATAGGATTGTACAGTAGATGGAAGCAGGTTACTGCGGGGAGAGGGGTTCTAAGGGTTTTAAAAATTATTTCCCCCCTCAAATATTTGGAAAAAATACACATACATAAGATGTTTTTGTAGTTTATCTGAAGGAGGCATAAGAAGCTTAGGATATTATTCCAGCCCCCCCCCCCATCTGAGCAGTGAAAAGGACAGTGGAGACTGTGATGTCTTTACGATATATTGTTGATTTACAGATATATATATATATATATATATATATATACACAAACAAACTGAAGTACGATGGAGGGCCTCACAGCATCAGCACCACAATAGGGTATTGCTTTTTCCATAGCCACAGCCTTGGATTCCAACACAAATCAGGCATAACACTGCCACTGCCTTCCCAGCCTGCTGCCTTACACACACTCAGCTCTCAACTCTGGCCTTTGAATTTCTAACTACCAGCAAGTTGGGGGGAGGCACCCATACACTATCTGGCACAGTGCCACTTCCTTTGTTACCTTAATGGTCCATACTTAAAGAGCCATTACTTTTCCATGAAATGAATCCGTGCTGCATCCAGGAATTAAAAAGGGGGGCAGGCATACAGCCTTCCCCCCTCCAAAGTCATAACAATATTATCAGGGATATTCATCATAAATACAGCATCAACATGCTATGCAATCTGACTGATGAGGCCACACATTGGTCAGCCTAGAGGGGTTGCAGTGTATTCAAGTGAAAATATGTGGAAATGCCACAAAAACAGTGTTCATAATGTAAGCAAAATTAGATCCTTTGTGATCCCTCAACCTTGAATGTATATGAAGCTCCATGAAACATACATGCAAATGCTTAGGAATTCAGAACTCTTAGTTTTAAAAAATAACTATTTCAAGACTAATTTATTTTCTGAAACAATCAATTTGTAAAAGTGCAGGTGTGCCAGCAGCCTCAGAGTACAGAGGAGGAGTCCACTCCAAGGGGAATTCCTGAAGTTACTTTGGCAACCAAACCTTTGAGGTCCCGCAGTGTGTGGATAGTAAAAGAAACTTTTGCCAAGTCCCCAGCAAGAGCACAACCGTTGCTCTTTAATAAGTAAGTTGGGAGGCAACACAACAGGAAGAGAGAAAACCCAAAAGGAAAAAAAAGTTCAATTCTATGTCTGCCTCACTTTTTAGCTTACTTTTTGCCCGGAAGATGAAAGGTTGCAGCCTCTCTCCTTGCATACCAGTATCAGTATCAAACTTTATTTCGGTCACAGACCAGTATAAACTGAACACATAAGACTTCAAACAGGTAAGGGATTTAAAAACTAGTAATTAAAAGGTGATTATATCATACATAACTTAAAAAGATAAAAACAAGGGCAAACAGTTCAAAGTGACTATAAGCGACTGATTACACCAGACAGCAAGGAGAAGCTGCCTTCCTGCCCCTCCAGGGCTGGCTGGGGTTTCTCTTCTCCTGGCTTGTGTTCACAGGGTGCCTAGAGCAGCTCCTTTTCGGGATCCATCTTGAGGAGAGAATGACAAAGTTGGTATATATGCAGCCAACCCCCTCCCTTTCCCGTTGGCGGTTCTATATCTATCTATCACTCTGACCATCATAGCCAGCCACATTCCTGTGCTGTTTACAAGATGTGGGGTTTCCTGGGCAGAAATGGTCTGCTGTAGTAAAGCACTGCTGGTGAACAAGCACCACTGTGGCATAGCCCAGTCTACTGTACCACAACAAACTATTCTTTTTGTTATAGATAAGTTTCCTGGAACTAAAGCCTGTGGGTCCCTTTTGGCACTGCACCCTCAGTAGGCTCCCTTAACTTGGAAGAGGTGGGATGCCAAATATTATGAAAACAACAACTTTTCTTTAAATGCAGAACAGTGCAGAGCCATTGCTGGAACTTAGAAGAGCCTGCCTCCTCGCACTGTGTTTAGTTTTGAAGCATTTGGGGAGAGGATGGAAGAAGTGACAGGGCTGGCTTCCTCACTCATCTATTGGTCCCCCATTGGCTTATTTGTTGCCCGCCAGCCATGTGAACCTGGCAACAAGCACTTGTTCACCTGATGAGGTGGCTGTGTGTGTGTTTGATGGGGAAAGATGCACTTGGGCAAAGAACGGGGGAGATGCTCTTTCTGTGTAGTGTAGTGTTGTGTCATGTGTCATGTTGTGTGTAGTGATGTGTAGAGTGTGTGTGTGAGAGAGAGCGAGAGAGAGCGCAGAAGGGAGGGGGGAGAGGCATCTATGAATGAATGTGTGGTTTTTATGTGAGAGAGCGGGAGAGATATATGTGAGGTGGGGGAGAGAGAAGGGCAGCTATGTGTGTGGTCTGTGACAAACAGAGATGCATTTGGACAGACAAAGAGGGAGAGATGTATGTGCAGCTGTGCATATGTGAAGTGTGTGTATACAAAAGATGCATACTCTATCTGCCTTCGGTATGTCTGTGGGGTGTGTGTGTCTGTGTGAGAGAGAAGGAGAGAGAGGGTGAGTGTAGTCGCCTTGTGTTATTTTCTGAGTACTGGGAAATGTTCCCTTTTGTTATTAGACAGTGGGTGGAGATGATATTTTGTGAGCTCCACAACCAGAACTAGCAGGACTCCTATAGCAGCCATGTTGTGTTATGCCATTCTGGCTCCCCTCACCCCACCCTACATGACAGCTATTTTATAACTAGAGTTCTTAGAATTTTCTAAAAATTTGAAATGTGTCCAGTGGTCCCAAAAGGTTGGCAAGCCCTGCTTTGAATGCACACTAGTATTTTTTGTTGTTCTAAAAGGTCATAGACACCCCAAAAAGAATAATAAAACCTGAGGTAAATGCAGTCTGAAGTCTTTGACATTTTCCTGGTCAACCACTTCTTAAGATATTTCAATACCATTGAAGTGACTGTGATACCACTGAGGTCAGAGAAATACAGTAAGTCTCCACACTACAGTATTGATAACATGAGTTTTTGTAGTGGTATGGAATGCTCAATAATAATAATATAATAGATACACAAAGCAAAGGTCAAAGAGGTAGATAGAACTTTCACCTGTTCTTCATAAAGGATGCAGAGAAGTTAGGAGGCGGAAATGGGAATGGGGCATCTGGGCGGTCTTCAGACAATTGTGTGGAGCAGTGTGTAAATGACGAGTCTGGTATGTGTGTGAATGGGTACAGAAGCTGGTGAATCAATTGACGAAGGTGGAGTTAAAGAGAAACTTCCAAAACATCATATTAAACTTTCTTCTTCAAACTGCAGCTTATTTTTCCATAAAACAGGTTTAAAATAGATTCTATGTGTGAGCATTTTGTACAATAGAATAAGTCAGTGGGGTGCAGAACTCTATTCTGTAATTTAAAGCACTTATACATATATTTCACCTTTCATTCCTACTTTAAAAAAACAGAGGTTTGTCAAGCTGATTGACAATGCAGACAACATAATAAATAGGGTTATTAATA